GGTGCTGCTGATGGCACGGGCATGTAATTTCCACCAGCACAATACAAGGTATGCTGAACTTGTTTCAGAGGTGCAGGTATAAGCTGCTCATAGAAAACGTTTCAATAACATAGGACAAGTAGCTTAAACAGTACAGTAGTCCCTGAGTTAACAGCAACATCAGTTAATATTTTTTCGGTTAACGTTTTGCCTCCCATAGGACCCCATCGTTTAAAACGTTAAACGTTAAAATTAACGTTCACGACTAACGTTAACATTTTTATTAACGATATGTGTACGTTATGCACGCGAGCACTAATTATGGCCAGTCCAAGTTCTCGTAGGTGGGTTGAGCGTATCTCAATTGGCGACGCCCATTTATGAGCGTTTAGACCTCGACTGGCTTTGTTTGCATTGTTTTCTATTTTGGCAGAAATGTAATTCCTAATTCGATTAACATTTATTTAGGTTAACAGTTTTCGTCGAACGGATTAAAACATTAACCGAGGGACGACTGTACTCTACTTGACAATTGGTAAATTTATATTTCCAGTGAGGTGAGCGACAGCCAACGACGGATAGCCATGGTCGCTGAAATGATCCACACAGCCAGCCTCGTGCACGACGATGTAATTGACAAAGCCAACACACGACGTGGGAAACCTGCAGTGAATTTCAAATGGGGTGAGAAGAAGGTAAGACATTGATGGCTGTAACTGCTTGTTGGCCCCTGTTGAAGCAAATTCATCTCAAGTAACAGCACCAGTGTATTGTCTAAAACCACATTAATTTATTGCAACACATTAACAACTCGTAGAAATCCTTCCACATGGTGATGAAAATCTACCAGTTTTTTAAATATCATCAACAGTTTTGTTTATGGGAACGTGCAGCATGCTGGGGGTTTTTAGTGGCGTGTGTGGACGATGTATTGCAGGCGATCCTAGCAGGAGATTTCATTCTCTCTGCAGCCTCGGTAGCCCTAGCCCGTCTTGGGAATGGAGATGTTGTGTCACTCCTGTCTCAGGTCATTGATGACCTCGTCAATGGTGAGTCTCAAGCCCGTCATCTAATGTCTATGGTTCATTCTATTACATCATTTTCAAACCATTACAATGCATATACTAAGTGTGAAATAAATATTGCATAGCACTCTCTTGGCTTTGGATTGCACTCTCATGCTCACATGTCTTTTGGATTGCACTCTCATACTCACAGGCCCTTCGTATTACACCTGTTGGGTTGCACTCCCTCGTCGAGGAGGCCCACCTCTTCACCTTCCTTTCTACAGTTACATGCTTATTTCTCACTTTAACATCATGCTAATCCCTCACATTAACATAGCCACTTCCGTGCCCTCTAATTTCTCACTTTAACATCATGCTAATCCCTCACATTAACATAGCCACTTCCGTGCCCTCTAATTTCTCACTTTAACATCATGCTAATCCCTCACATTAGCATAGCCACTTCCGTGCCCTCGTTTAGGAGGTCGCTCTTCTGTCTTCCAGTTACATGCTAATTTCTCACATTAACATTACTAGCCCCGGCCACTTCTTTATAACCCTTGAGCTACACCCATTTCAAACCTTTTAAAACAGTCTGCCTCAGCAGCAGACTATGCTTTCCCACCTGATGAAGGATGCTTGTGTTGCGCCCGAAACGTCGTTATTTATTTTATTTTATACCTACGTGACTTTACCGAAAGAACCAAAGAGTGTATGGATTCCTGCAGTCACGAAAGCCTCAAATCAAGAGTGAAATAAATAATTACGTTTCTGTATGCTCCATTTGTTTTGCCTGTGTTCAGGGGAGTTTATGCAATTAGGCTCGAAAGAGAATGAGAATGAAAGGTTTGCGCACTATCTGAAAAAAAACTTCAAGAAAACTGCGAGCCTTATTGCACACAGCGCTAAAGCGGTAAGTTGACACATTTGTCATGGTCAAAGCTAAATTTAACCATTTTTTTAATTTACGGTCTCATTTAAACTGTTTTTCATTTTCTTCTGGGTCTTTTTAGGTTGCTGTTCTTGGTGAAGCAGATACCGATGTCCAGGAAATCGCCTTCATGTATGGCAAACACTTGGGGATTGCATTTCAGGTATTATCACTTACAGATATTACATCAAGAGGTTTCCAATATCCCAGCGTGATTGTATATGCATTTTATAAATGCTTCATGTCTGATTCTCTCTCAACTCGACACTCTGTACTCATCTTATCCAGCTTATTGCTAGTTATTGTTTTCATTTAATTTTCTCATTCTGCAGTATTCTCCTTACATCAGTATTGGCACAACTATTGCATGGTACACCTTGTGGTTACTTTTTTGTAAATGTCCAGTTTAAATTGCGAGATTAAAATGATAACCTTAAGTAATGTCACTTTCCAGTAGAAATCATAGGAAACTAAAAGTTTATCATAGAACTATGTGAATAAAGCACGTGTGCTTTTTAAGTCTGCTTAGTAATAACTACAGATATTTAATGTTACAGAAAAAAATGGTTTAGTACTATTTTATCAAAAGCTAATCATTGTTGAGACTTCAGAATTTCAAAGAATGACCATTAAAGAAAAGCCAGGTTGCAATGAGTACAAGTATTGTACTCCTGTTTGCTTTAGGGAAAACATAATCCTTTTTAAATCCTTTATATTAAGTTCGCTTGCTTGCGTGTTTGCTTGCTTGCTTAGGACCGTGCAAATCTTTCGGTCGTTTTTTAACCCACTTCCCGTGATCCAATCGAGCTGACATTTTCCACACAGACTCGTTGTGCCAGACAATTATTGTTCGTGAAAAAAAATTCCCAACATTTTACACTTTTTAGGCAAAAAAAAATTATTTTACATATATTCAAATAGAACGCATTCATGGCTTTGGCTGAACGTCAGAGTGTAAGAGCCCAGAGCGTAACCCCTCCACAGGCCGTGGCGGAGTAGCGCAGTTGGTAGCGCCCTCGCTTCCCATGCCAAAGGTCGCGGGATCGATCCCCGCGTCCTCCACAGGCGAATATATTTTTCAATCCTTTATATTAAGTTCGCGTGCTTGCTTGCTTACTTGCATGCTTGCTTGCTTGCGTGCTTGCTTGCTTGCTTACGACCGTGCAAATCTTTCGGTCATTTTTTAACCCACTTCCCGTGATCCAATCGAGCTGACATTTTCCACACAGACTCGTTGTGCGAGACAATTAATGTTCGTGAAAAAAAATTCCCAAAATGTTACACTGTTTAGGGAAAACAATCATCTGACCCATAGGTGGCAGCCATCTCAAGCCAGAGGACGAGAGGACTCTAGCCGCCACGCATATAAAGGATTTATAGTGAAAAACTTTGTTTTTACGGGTTATACTTGTTCTGTCAATGTTTTGCAAGAGGTGTCCTCGATGAGACATACAAATATGGTCCAGTCAATCTTACAGACATTAAGCGCCCACTGATTTTCCATATCAAGAAGGGCGTTCACCCATGTGTTCTGAACAAAAGCCCACACAACAGCTGAAAACAAATCTGGACGCTGGACTATCTGATAACAAGCATATCCGATAACAAAAAATTATAAACTTTTAAGCCATAATGAAACACACCTTTACCAGCTCACTGACCAGCGTGGTGAAGTATGGTCATATAACCCCCACAACTTGCAATCTGGAGAGGCTTTAATCAATGGATCGACAAAGGACTGGACATGTACGGTCTCATCTACTTGATAGCTTTCAGAAAAGATCAGTAACATGTTTGTTTTCTAAATGTATGACTCAACTAGGATTTAAGCTTGGGTTATTTTTTAACTCTTGGTATATTCACATTCATTAATCGACTTTACCCCCCCTCCCCATTTCTTTGTGGTCAGCTGATTGACGACGTTTTGGATTTCACTGCATGTGGAAATCAGTTGGGCAAGCCAGCTGCAGCTGATCTCAAGCTAGGGCTGGCCACGGCACCTGTGCTATTTGCTTGTGACAAGGTGAGGCCTAAGTCTGCAGTCTCACAAATTATTCCATAGCTCATATAATGGATGTGTATTTCGTACAATACTCAGAATCTGATTTTTTTTACATAATGCTCCTTTTTGTTAAGTTAATAATCTGTTTCATTGCTTGCATTTGTTCTGCTTGGACTGTCAGCACCCGGAACTGCACAGTATGATAATGAGACGTTTTAGCCTCACTGGAGACGTTGAAAAAGCTTGGGAGCATGTCTTGGAGGTGAGGATCTTTCTGCATGTTTTTTTTTATTTCTGTACATGAACATCACTCGTTGTAATTTGGCAGTCCATTTAAAACCAAATGTTTTTTTTTCCTCTCTCAAGAGCGATGGCGTACAGCAGACACGAGACCTAGCGCAGCGCTATTGCAGCGAAGCTGTCAAGCTCATCAGCACCCTGCGGCCATCACCTGAACGTGATGCACTCATACGGATAACGGAGATGGTGCTCACACGAGATAAATGACTTAGCCTTAACACTGCAAGCCGCTATTAAATGCCAGTGCTGTTAATGCTTCCTGAAGTAAAGGTCTGCATTGGCCTGAATTTATTGGTTTGGTGGTGGGAATGACATGGGTTGAATAGATTAGTGGAAGGGTATGTGTGCACTCGGTGGAAGGAATAACGGTGCCCAGATTCAGTATGCAGCTGTGCATAAATTGTGATTTGTACAAGATAAATGCGAAACATTTTGCAGAAATATTGTGCGACTTAAGGGTGCTGATGAAAACTTCTAAAGGTGTTCAAAGTATTGCTACGTTTGAACGGTTATCACTTGAATAGTTTTTATTTTAAACACTTGTGTATAATTTCGCATGAAGTTGCAAAATGTTTGAAAGTGTCACCAAAAAGTGTTTGTAATCAAGCTTTTTAAAAATGCAAACATGTTTACATAGTTTTCAAATTGAGGCCAGTAACATTCATTGCCATAATGGCTTTTTTACATCTGACTGGCAGCTGTATATTTTAAGGCCTTATTGCAACTCGGATGTCTGAAGACATGAGTTTTATCTTGTATATAAAAAAAAACTTGCAGTCAATTGCGTAGGTTTTTATTTTATTTTTTGGAAAATGTTTGTACATAATATATACACAATGTCAGAAATATGCAAACAGCATGCAGACCTTAAAGTAGCAACAAGCAAGGAATTCTTGAAGGTTGAGCTCAGTTACCTCCTACATATATATTATAAAGCTGCATTAAGATGCATTGTTTCACGTACAGCTTATCCAACTGTTAAGTAGTATATGTGTGGCCAACCGCAGTCTTGAAAAAACAACTGAGGATTAGATGCTGTTGTAGCAATTGGCCCCACCTGGTCACATTTCAAAATCAAGCAGTGACTTAACATTAAACAATTACAAAAGTCAGAACAATCACTATTACATATAAGTTTACAAAGATGTACAAAAACCACTCTGCCACAGTTTTTTTTGAGCCTTAGATTACCAATACACTCTGGAAGCTCAAATACAAAATGCAACAGGTACATAGCTATAGTAATTATGTTCTTTCACAACCTCGGCTGCTCTTAGTCATTGACCTATAATAAAGTGAGTCCTTCCAGTCGTTGGAGAAATTCGGAATATAAACATTTGTTCACAAAAGCATTCCACACCTAGGATAAATGCAGACATCCCATAGCAAGGTGTGAACACAGTTGGGGTAGCTGCTTCTAACACCTTTTAAACATGCCATGCTTAAAGTACCTCAAGGTAAACTAAATTTTGTAAGCATGCATTATGCGAGTTACTTTGGCTATGTGGCTCGTGGAAAGTCTGGGGTAAATTTGTACACTTGGTGTTCTTAAAAATGTATCGCATGCAAATAAGCCAATGAGAAGTTATGATATTGCTTCTCTAAGGCAATGGTTTTCAATTGTTGTGGAAACAGACCATTAAATGTAATGAAATTTAGAATCTTCACATGCCTTGGCAACAATTGATTCCTTCCAACTTCACCGAGCTACACCAATCTGCACAAGTGAGGAAAGCTTAAAATGAAACCATAATACTGCACTGCACAACTTGAAATTAAAATGGCCCGTACATTGTGGACTGACAAGTACTTTCCACAATAGAATGTTATTTACAGACCAATTATAAGGATAGCTTATACTAACTTTGTCTATTTTGTAGATACTCAAACATGTGAAAATTATCCAATCCAGTAACCATAAAATAAAGCCTTTGCAAGATGTTATTAAAGTGTAGCTCTTATTTTAACAATCACTAGAGCTTTCCATAAATCTCTGCTAAGCAGTAGTTGCATTTTTTTTTCTCACACCACACAACCCACATCACAGCTGTGGCACTCAAAAATTATCCAGATTACGCTAAGTCCATCAAGCAAAACATTCAGCATTAAAACACCATTGTTTCGTTTTGTAACATGAAAATTAACTTAATTTTAAATTACACTTCTACAACCACAATAACCAGTATATTAAAAAAATCTTGATTTTTGACAAGCTTAAGAGATGTATCCAAGTATCGCATACACAAGTACTGCTGCAAAAAGTTTGTGGCAAGATTTATCTGCACAGGACAAGATATCTATACAGTACTGTTCATCCACCAACAGAATAGTTGTTGAAATGCTGCAGCAGTTAAAAGTCCAAAGCTGCAAGGACTGCAAGAAGTCTGTCCCATGGATTGGTATTTGGCAAGAGTGACGCATCGGAGGGGCACAGAACGCTGAGACCAGAGAGCGTAAATCTAGCTGGCGTAGTGTAGGATGGGTTCAACATAGTTTCCAGGGAAAAGCCCCGTCTGGCCGTTCATGGTGCCCTCGTACCAGCCGTCATCATTCTTCTTTATGACATAGATTATTGAGCCCTCCTGGAAGCTCAACTCGTCCTCTTTGTCCTTGTTGTAGTCATACACGGCTACCACTGGGGAAAGAATGGACAACAACACCACAGCTGAATATTGTGTAGGTAACAAGTGTGCTGTTTATGTGTTTCTGTGCACACAGACACTTGCAGTGACACTAGTTAAGAAGGTACCCAATGTGTCCTAAGCTCCCTAGTATAACGAGTAAAAGGTAAGGTGCAGCCCAGCAATTGCATAGTCACATTACTGCTGGTGGATTCTCCAGTAGCGGAAGCTCTAGAGCCCTTCTAGAAAGTATTTAGGCTACGCTTCAGGAATATAGCAAATACTTAAAATGTTATAGTTATTTCTTGTCTGAGGTTCTTTGGCTGCATGCGTGTGCAATGCAGAACCTTGCCATTACCTTTCTCCAGGTAGCTTTTGGGTGCCCATGGAGGGTCAGCCTCAGCATAGGGATCACAGTACTGCACAACAGCAGCCTCCTCTTCCTCGTAGTCACCGGGTGGAGGTGGTGGCATCAGCGGCTCCACAGGCCCCGCTCCAAACCCAGCCAGCTCTTCAGGCGGCGGTGGCAATGGCTGTGACGGGCCCTCCGTGACTTGGAGCAGAATGGAAGATCATCAGCCATGATACATCCACTGCTGGATGATGGGCTCCACAAGCCATACACTTTCTCATGGTTCTGAGATGTAACAATCTACCTTGCACACAACCTTATTTCAATGAGTATCACAAAAGATTGACAGATTTGGTACCTAGGTACCATATAGCTTTAAAAGACAATACATGTAACAAAATCTGCAGCTCATTTTTGCTGACATGGAAATGTATTCAAAATAATGTCCTACTGTACAACATATGTACAGCCCTTTGTCAATCCACTGCTGGATACAGGCCTCCCCACGTAGTGCAGGTCATGGTGGATCTTTAACTACACTTTACACTGGTCATTGCGAGTTGTTGAAGATGGAGAAGGTAGATGTAGTGGTCACATAAAAGCATAGAAACACTATTTTGCTGCACTGCCCTCTGCTGCCCACCATACAGCTACTGTGGAGTATCCATATAAATCTAGTACCTTTACAGTGCTCTTTAGTCAAGGTAAAAAAAACTTTCCAAGTTGAGCAGATCTAATTCGTTATCAGTCGCAAATCAGTAGTAGTCATTCCAGATTCCTATGGTAAGGGGACTTTTCTATACAGAATTACCACCAATGACTTTATGACCATAGGAACAGGGTATAGGCCAAGTTGGCCAACAACAAATTTGCACACCCAACCTTGTGAAATGGGCACTAACCACAGAGGCCATAATGAAAAATGTAGAAATTACAGGTACTCACTGTTCTCCTGCATGCGTGCCACGAGGCCTGTGAGAGGGATCTGTGGGGTGAGCTGAGGCATCGGTGGAGGTGGTGGTGCTTGCATCACTAGAGCACGCACAGAGCAGCTCCAGTTCAATCAAGCGACAAAGTCTCATGGGAAACAAATAGTACGACGCAGTCACCAGTGATGAAAATATTCGGAGAGACAAACTGCCCCTGTGTTGTAAGACCAAGTGCACATGCATCTTTGCACGCACTCGGGTTGTGACTGTAGAAGGGACCTCCGTTGAGCTGCGAGCACTGTGAAGTGACCGAGGGTGGGCGGCGGGGAACGCCTGAGCTGATGGATGTGGCCGAGTTGTGTCGTGACATCTGCCTGGGCATCGAGTTGTATTGGGGTGCAGGACCAGCTATACGGGACATACCATTCACAATACACCACACCAGCCATTAATCACCACCACTCACCAAGATTTGTTGCCAAATTATGTTCATTGACCTCAGTCTAGTTAAAGTACGACATTAAACCAATACCATAAAAGTTTATATTGTGTACCTTAAATTTGTTCCAATATGGAACTAAATTGGGATGATTCAACATGAACATGCTTTTCTCATGTATGATAAGACACAGCCTTACTTAAAAACTATTCATACTCACGAAAATAAATGTATACTTAAGCTGTAAACATTGCACCACATACACAAATAGCTAAAAACATAAATTATTCACATAAATAACACCAATTAGTTCAAGCAAATGTATGCAAACCTATCGCAGATCCATCTCCATAACTTTCTTGCCCGACAAAAATGATTTGCCTCCAATCAAAAATAAACAATGCCATGTCCAATGACAAATAAAGAATGCAACTCAGGATAAAACCACAAAATGATGCCCAAGCCTCATCAGAATTGTATTAGGGAATTAAGTCAGCAAATGCTACCATTAGGTGAGCCATGCAATAATTAAGACAGGAGCATTGCCAAGATTATTACGCTTATTTCCCCAAGTGGAGTCTTCAGGGGCTCATGTTATATGAAAGGGCCATTCTTGTTGGCTCTACTGCTACTCGAGAACTCAGATGTACAAAAGCTCCCCAGCGTTAGTCACAGCAGGGACTTGGACCCTTCTTATGGCAGCCTGGCGACACCCCCGCAAAACAGACTAAGCTACTATAGACACAGCATACATTTTGTCTTACCACCGAACACAGGAGGGGGGGGAGGAGGAGGCGGCACACCCATCATGGGTGCTGGTAGCCAGGGAAAACACATACAGCAATTACATATTCAACTATTATTTGTCTACTAAAGTGATGATTAATGTCATCATGATTCTGTGTTGGTGGCATGTGTTGCAACATGAGCCAAGGTGAAAAAATTACAGCAAGATAAGAACACCAATTATTTATTTATTTACTACATCATATACAGGCTAAGAGCCAATTTAACTTGGCCCAGACTGCAAGTCAAATAATGAAAATCTATTATATTTCTAATTACATTTTTGCAAAGTAGCATACAAGAAAATGACAGATATTTAACACTGCCTAATTGACATGCGTGACATCACACAGCATGTTAAGCAACGCCCTTGAGTACACAGATGATGACATCGATTTGGCAGAGGCATTCAGCTAAGGCGAAGGTCTTCGCCTGACTTGAGGTCACGTATCGATCAAGCACATTGAACCAATGTACATAATACATTTAAAAATATTAAAATGGTGATAATAAAACTAAACAGGCAATCCTGCAGATATAGCGGATTTTAAAATGGCTAACCGCACAAACATTTTCACAATTGCTTGTACAAATTACATGGTCATGCATCACTGTAAACAAAATGTATGATAACACAACTTTAAAAATTAAATAAAAACAATTAACTCATCACCACTTAGACATAAAAAAAGTAATTTTACCAATTCTATAAATTATGGATGATAAAGTGTCTGGTTAAATGTATAAGTATGGCTGATATGGACAGAGACAGGTGGATGAACTATGAGATGGACGATGGCCAACAGTGCGGGCTAGAACGGTGGCACAACAACCTCGGAGCCATAGTGGGGACTGACCTGTGATTGGTGCAGGAGGCAGGGGCAGTGGAGAAGTGAGGCCATCAGGTGGCAAAGGGGACGGGGCAGCTGGGTAATTTGAGTGCAGGTGAAAAGCCGAGGCACGCAGGTAACACATGCAAATAACACGTGCAGAAAGGTCACCGAGACTTGCAAATTCAAGGTTATACGTGCACATTTAAAGCATAAGTAACTCACTTCCACATAATCGTGCCAGAGAAAACAAGGTCAGATATTTGTAAACACATTGCATACTACTTGCGGAAGCAATTTGCACAGTAGCCAACTTTTAAATTTGCTTTTTTAAGACTTCCACAGTATGTATGAGAAAATATTTGTATTATTGTAGAATGAATCTATGGTCGGAAATGGTATAGGAAATGTAAAAAGTTAGTACACATTAAAGGTTCACACAAGTGGTTAATTTATAAAGGTTGTTTATTTATACAGGAGTACTGCACTCCATGTGTATTTCGAGGCATGGGCTGATGATTTGGCTACAAGGATGCATGTGATACTGACCTGGCCCGTAAGCATTAGGAATGAATGGAGTGGGGACCGGTATCGGAACGCCCACACTGCCACTGCCGCTGTTCTCCCGGCTGCCACCACTACGGCTGCCACCACTGCTGCCACTGTAACCACAAACAAAAAGCCAGGGATCAGATGGATGGAATAAAATTAACCAAAATGCATAAAAGCTATATTATACGCTGCATTAAACACATACTTATTTGCGGTCAAATATGTTCCAAGCTTGAAATCAAATGATTTCAGTTTGTCAAAGAATTAAATCAATTTGCCCTCCAAACATTTGTTCTGCATTAAACTTACAACAGAAATGAAACATTCAGTATTCTCAGTTTTTGGCTCTTTAATAATTTCGTATATAGCTGTTAATTTAGTCCTGGGAACTTTATATGCACTGTTAAAGCATTATTGTGTAAACAAAAATTGATAGAGTAAGCAAGTGCATAAGACTGCCAGACCTTACAAAATGGTGGCCTGTAGGTTATTATTGGGATAGTTCCACCAATTATGCAACCTCACCTTCAACTTTTGAGTATCATCATACATGGCATCACAATGAAGGTATGCCAAAGTAAAAATTCACTTCATGATTACGGTATACTGATTACCGACATGACTCAAGTGTCTGATAAGCACATAAAAAATCTTTAATTGCTTGCCGTCATTAACCACGAGGCAATTAATGGCACCTGTATGTGCGTGCCCTCTGGTTGAGAGAGGCGGTACGCGAAGGACTCTGTGCCTCCTGCTGAGGCGGGTACGTAGGTGTGGCACGGCCGGGGCTTGATGAGTAGTCGTTGGGCAAAGCAGGCGGCCTCACAGGTTCCAGGGTGCGGTAGGGCGAGCTCCTCCTGCCAGCCCCGGCAGGACAGCACAGACACACACGTACATGTACGCACACGCATGGGGGCCGAGTGCATTACAAGGGGACATGGTGCACAACAACAGAGGCCTCACGATGAACAGTTAATGCGGCAGACAAGGGTAATGATTCTGATAAAAGTGTTGTTACAACATGCAAAGCTTGTGTGCTATTTGAGAACCCAACTTGGCCCATCTATATATATATAAAAAAGAAAAAAATTGTGTGTGGGTTTGTGTGTGTTCGTGCGCTTGGCTCTCCAACGGTGGGATTTACGTAACATAAAAATAGCCAAGTATCACGCCATTAAGCCCCGCCGTGAGCAAGCGCTATTCCTTTTTCACATCCGTCAACTTTTAATTAGTTTAGCGATTTTGTGCGATTTTTGCGCACTTCCCTTGTATTTATTTATTTATAACGCATGCACGACCATACCAACTCACGCGCCTTTGGTGGGGGGGACGGCCCATGCCAAGTCGCACGCCTTCGGTGGGAGTGAGGGGGTCATTTTCTTTCGCGTTAAAAATCCTATAAAAATACACTAAACGCTCAGGTAAATTCTTCACTGTGTGATGTCCCCCCCACCCCGATGGTTTGCAGTTATCACTACTATACAGTCGCTACATGCTACCACTATAGGCCATAGATATTACTGCAGAGTGGCCGGGGAGATCGTGCCTGGGGGGGGGGGGTCAGGGTAGCCCAGCCCCAGCCTGCCAAGGTGCCACCTCGGCCGTCTGGACAATCTAGGCGAGGCCGGAGGCTCTGCACGGGACTAGGCCTCACCACGCCACTGTCAGGTGAGTACTTTGTGCTATACAGTCGATAAATACTGCTATAGAGTCAGCATGTACTACTGTAGTGATAGCAGGTATCACCACAGTCGGTATGCACTGCTGTAATCATAGCAGATACCACCAGTCGGTATGCACTGCTGTAATCATAGCAGGTACCACCACAGTCAGTATGCACTGATGTTACATTTTCAAGAGTAGGTTTGAAATATTTTTTTGACCCGGGCAACGCCAGGTACCTCCAGCCAGTTGAAAATAAAAGCCACATCCAACTTGAATCCTACCACAAAAGATGCAACCTCAGTATTACCTCACTGGGAAACCGGCTTTGCCAATTCAATACTGCTGCATCGGATTAAAAAAGCTATAAAACAATGCATATTATTTCAAATGTTAAAACTGCCACAGCATTCTAATTTTTTTCCAAAGCCAGACAGGCCCTGTGTAAAAAGACTAGAAATAGGCTGAAGGAGGAGAGCTGATATAGCAAAGACGACGTACCCCTTTCTTCCCAGTGTGCTGCGGGATCGGACGGCGATCGCGTCGCCGGAGTTGTGGCAAGCAGGCGAGTAAAGAAGGGAGCTGTGGTTAACTTGGCTTTGTGAACAATGTTCAAAGAATAGGAGTAAACCTTCTATGGTTCACGCATGCCAAGACACAGCATTGAAAGCTCATATTTTGTCCCTTGAGAAAAGCCACAGCAATGTGCAGCCCAGGAAGACTTTGCACTTAAATTACACCCTGGATATTTTTTTCAAGGCATTAAAGATCTATCAGCAGCTTGGGAAAAAATTAGTATGCCACAAAATTGATTTAAAGAGACTGCTGAGTTTATTTTAATTCAAGTGGCAAGTCTCTACTGAACCAGGATAAACAGCAACTTTACAAGCAGCAGCCGACTTCCACAGAAAGCACTTCATTGTTTATGCTTGGTCAAAGTTATCCCTTTCATTTTAAGTTGTAGTCATATTCTAAGTGAGGTGCGTGTATTTAATGAGCTCAATATTTTCTTAAATTGCATTTCATTTATACTTTAGCCTATCAGATCAAAACGATTTAGTCACACCAAGACGAACTTTTACATAATCATCTATAGTACGAAGCATGAAGACCTTTTAATTGTTTTATACTGTACCCTGCACACTACAGCGCAGTAAGAAGCCGGAAAACCTGAAACAAATGAATGACACTGAGCTCCGTAGCCTTTCGGGTCGCTGGGGAGACAACTTGTGCAAGGCTTGCATTGAAACCCAAACTGATTGAGTCCTAGGAAAAGTGTATTATTCTCCCTTGTCTGTTTAGCTAAAAAACACATATGAATGGGGGAAATGCATGCAAGGACGATGCCACATTACTGCCTTTGCACCAAGGTACTTAAAACCCTTTGCACACCCTAGTCTAGGCATATGAAATTTCACAGCACAAGTTTTATTACATCAGCTGTGCGAGCACTTGTAGTTCACACAACCCTAGGGATGATGGAAATACAGCTACACTTACATAATCATTATCAGAAGAGTGCAGTGTTGTGCGGAGAGGACTTATATTGGAACACATGCAAAAAACGTAGGTTGTACGAAAAGGAATGCAAAGTATGTTTGCAACCTGAGGGACCGCAATGCAAGCAGAGTTCAAGACGACAGACATGTGAGGGGCATACCCCATGGTGCCACGACCACCCGCTGGTGGGCTGGGGGGCCTCTGAGTGGGCGGTGTGCTTCGCGGAACGCTCACGCTACTTGTTCTCCCATTGGGGTTTCCTCCCTGCTGCAATGAATGCAACAAACCAACAGCATGCAATCTTTAACACTATATTATTATAAAGCACTTGGCGCGCTGATGTTAATGCAACATACATAATACTAATAACATGACTGTAAATACATAATCCTAAATAATCAGGATTCATTGGCTCAAGTAAACATCGTGATAAACTCCCACTAGGGAATGTAATGGCATCTATCACTATACACGTGGCCATCATTGCACATTTCTGTCATATGTACATACAGATTGGTATTTAAAAAGGAAATATTTATTTTTACAACAATGTATAATCACTTTGAAAATTTTAATTCAGCCATGCCCAAATTAGGTACTGAACCAGATTAATTCAATCCCTCGAGTGTGCGGTCATTCACTGCAACACATTAAACATGCTTCTTTCTTTACATCTACCTATGCAGGGTACATGTTTCACTTATAACGCAAATGCACAGTAATAAACTAAAAATATAAATCTATAATAAGGCATCCAACCTTCAAATACTAAGATATGTTTTACTCTGGGTTTTCAAGAAACCAAGAATACACTTCTTACCTTGACTTTCAAAAGCCACTTTGTGAAATGCAAAGGAGCAACACAAAATATGTCTCGAGTTAAAGACAAACAAATGAAGGCTGTTTTTAATGACTTTTACGATTTTAATAAAATACAACTTTTTATTACGGCATTAAAAACAAAGTTAAATGGGGCATGCATACATAAAGTGGTGTGTACGTATACACACATACTATGTAACTTTAATTATACATAATTGCACTAAACAGACCAAAAAGTTATGCTATCTACACAAGGCCCTTGGTAGCCACCATCTGCACAAACATCTGCTACTTGTCTCATCCTTGTAACTTTCCCCCCCCACATTCTATTAAACAAATCCAAAAGTGTCGAGTTTTTTTTCAATAACCTCGACACAGGATTCTTAAAAATAAACATTTTGGTTGCGACAAATATATACTATTAATAGATCGTACAGTAATCCGTATACACGCAGACATAACATTAAATTTTGTCTACATTTAAAAACTTTATCTTTTGACCATACAATTTTACTATAATATGACATTAATAGGATTAAGAGCTGTTGCACTGTCAATTTAAAAATGTGTACATCATAAAGGATGTTTTCATTCATGTAGCATTAAGATTGAAAAACCTTAAGGTTCATAAACATTTGACCATCTGGAAAAAGGTGCTGTAATCAACCGAAACAACATGCAGGGCAATACGACTTCCTGTGTGGCCAATGTGTATACACTAAGGAACTCCTTGGAGAGGCAGGCTTGGCTGTAAGGGTAAAAGGCTAACTTTTTTTACTTTAATAAACATTTTGCACATTGCCAACTGCATTGTAACCAAATACACATACTTTACAATTTCGATCAAATTCACAATTCTAAGGTGAAAAGCAGACGTATTTCATTTGAAGTAGTCATGAGGCTTATTAATTATTACCAAACTGCATAAGTGTCAAAGCATATTTATGAAGGTATCGTCGGAAAAGTATTTTCAAGGAACATTCTGAACATTTTATATATGATGTCCATATATTTTTACGAATGAAAAATCACCACCTAGTGGAATATCTTTTTGAAAAAAATATCATATACAGCAATTAGATACACAAGCTTGAAATCCAATTTAAGGTGTAACAGACCTTGACAGAGAACAAAAACTTGTAAATTGGCCATGTGTAGTGCTGCGCTTACCTTCACACCATGCCCCACGTCGTCCAGTGCGCTATAGTCCACCGGCTTGCGCACGTAGCGCACAGGCCTCTCAGGGTTGACTGGTGCCAGGATCTTGTGAGTGCGAGACGTGTTTTTGTTGGTGGTCAGGATTCCAATCTCACGCCGTGCCACCTTCTCCTTGTGGATGTCCACTGTCTGAAATAAGATCAGCCATCATAATCCATGATTAATCCACTACTGTATGAAGGTCTCACCAAGCCATCTCTCACGGTGCAGAAATTTAACAATCCAGTACCCAGGATGATTTCATCGCTCCATCTGCACGGTGGCAAGTTACCTCCCTTGGATGCCAAACTAGCCCTTCAAGTGACATGCCCTGTACATGTTTAATTCATGATTCATGTCTAACGTATAGGAAACAAAACTGAAACAATTAAATCATTGTACAATGGGCTGAGTGTAGTGTATTATATGTATGCCATAGATCTGCTTTCAACTGGAACTTTTGATACGTTATCAGGCAAAAAAAACTATCACTTAATATTACACTTAAGTATATTGCATTTAACAACAAATATAATAATGCAGCTTCCATTAGGTGAATACAAATTGTGTAGTCCAATCAGAAAAAAGTCAGCAATTTAAGCTGAGAGAAGGCATTTTTCAGATCACATTATTAAATACAGGGACAGATTTTAATTATGTGAATCTAATTAAAACATCTACATAATATGTCTAAGAATACTATATACATTGCACAATTTGAAATAGTCTCGAACACTTAATTTTTTAAGCCTAAGTGTGATGATGAACCTTCACTGACTGCAAATCAATGCAACAAGCTAGCATCAGGGATCCATTAATTTTATCTCTCTGCATCAAAACAATTACAACAGCAAAAACTGCCAAACTGTAGATCTGCCATATACTATTAAAAAAATTCCCGTGACATTTCCATGTAAATTGAACTGACACAAGGATGCCAATATGCTTCAGCTTGGCACATGTTATGCACAAGACATTTTTCCGCTTGATACAAGCAGAGCTTGCATAAACATTGCTGGGATTAAAAATTATCGGACCAAATGCTACACAGGTCAAAACCACCAATCTTCACAGTGCACGTATGATGTTGTCAGTGCTTTCACTTTTACAAAACATTAATTAAAGTTGCTTTCATTGGTTTAGATTTTTCACTGAAAAACAAAGATTAAAAAGGCTCCGAAAGTAACATTTTACCACAATTGCACCCTAACCATCTTCTGTACTATGGTCGGTGATTATCAGGTATCAATATGCACTTTCGGCATGCAATAAGCCACTGAATAGATCATTTGTGGGAAATAATTAATTTATTGAGCATTTCTTCAATAAAACACAAACCTGATGAGAAATTGAAAATATTAAATATTCAAGCAACCTGTGCATGCCCACGTTTAGTGTTTATACATCACACTTTAATTACCACAAAATCACTGCAAATCGAAATCAATGCTTAGACTTTAAGAAACCCAAACTATCACAAATGGAAAAATACCACTGCACGCATGCATTGACAATGATGTATTATATTCACATATGCTATAATAGCAAAAAAATCATTAAAGCACACACTTCATTCATCAAGCCTCGACAAACATTTCATGCACTGGTTGCAAGCTGACCACACTGCAAATCAGTTTAGAGGGTTGTTTTGACAGCAGACAAAGATCACCTTTTCCAAATGTTTATTAACAGCACTCGACACTGCTTCGCACTTAGATCTTTGGCTGCATTCAGTGCAGCCTACTAGCAAAATTAAGGTTGTTTTTATTATTACGTTAACTTTATTTAGAAAATAAACCTAACTTTTCGAATTGATAGTCGAACATAACCAGTGTATTATTAAATCAGCTTGTTCTTGTTAAGATTTTTCTAAAGATAGTTTCTGCAGTTTAACAGTTAATGCATTTTCCAGAGTTTCCTAACAGCTGGTTTGCAGATATTACCTTTCAAGTGGGCTTCCATTTTGCCACAATTTATGACGGAATGATATTCATAGTCTGAAATAATAAGTTTACAAAATGATATCCCCATTTACCATGTTTTCATGAAGCACTACATTTTTCTGAGTTACACTTGCCCATACGTATATCCCCAGTCTATAATATATTGCCGTATTACATTTTCAAAGTTGGACTACTAGCACTATGTACCGAAAACCTATAATTATCAAGGGGATGTAACATATTATACATATACAGTATAATGATAATGTACAGCCCTTTGTCAACACAATTCTGGAAGAAGTCCCCTCCATGCTGTGTGAAGAATGAGGGTTATTTCACCATACCTGGGCAGATATGGCTTAGCAGATTAAATGACCTCACAATAAAAAGGTTTTAGTGCAAAGATTCACAGCTCAAATCCAGCGGCCATCCTGATTATTACTGCAGGTGTAATAAACGTAATAACATGCGCAGCCTGCTTCAGTGGTTGTTAAAGATCCCCCGACGTAATTTGCAATCGTAGGCAATTGTGATTTGGCATCAGGGTCCACATTTTCCAACTTAGATTATTATCCGAAAATGATTAAACGAGGAATATACGTAGCAATCATTGCCACCTACTGGCAGACTAATGCCCCAAATCACCCTTGCATGAGACAATCCTAATTTATTGAGTTCAATCCTGATTTACAAAAAAGTAATGAAAAATTATTCCTCAACATACAAGTCAGCAGAGATTGGCGAAGGGAAACCCAAGGTATAACTCGCCTATGATTTTAGCTATGGCCAGGAATCGAACTTATGTTACTGAACTTATAGCCAAGTGTGAATATCACTGTGCCACTCCTCCACACCACATATATCACATGCACCGGTGTGCAGAAGCAGCTCTAGATCTCAATTTGCCAAGGAAGCTTCACTCGTCACTTTCAATAATTTCACAAATGTCAACAAGAGCATTTTTTTAAATTTAAATTATTTTGGATTCATATAAAACCAAAGCTGCCTAGCAGCTTCAGTAGTTTAAAACTGCTGTAATAAAACAATCCCAGTTATAGTATTCGCTATATGTAAATAATGCAGTTAATACAAAACATTACTGCCAAAATTACTTTTTGCAAGAAATGTCAGATGGATGTTGGGCAGAAACACTTTCCTCTTTAATTTCAGTTACTTTAAAATAACAGTGCAAATGGTTTTCATTTTGTAAAATAGCCATTGAAGCAGCAAATACAAATGTGTACTTCCTCAGACATCAAACAGCCACTTAAATAGTTTGTAAATTTGTAACCATTTATTTTAATTCAACGAAAATCCAGCAATATATTATTTTACAAATTAGACCAAAAACTATTATAATATAACATTATAATATAACATTTCTCCTCCGTCGACGTAAAATAATGCTTAATAAGAGCGGTAAGATTTTTCTATTAAATTTAGTCAAATGTTTATTTTATGAAAAGATCAACTATAACCATATGTAAACATGTCACCAACTGTTCATGTGGGTTGTCAGTGGACTGTATACGTAGCACATATGCTAGCCAAAAACCTGATCTTTGACAAGAGTATTGAATACGTGTGACCTCAGCAAAAATAACTAAACATCCTATGAAAATCGGTCATTGTACGCGCTATTTGACCTGAGATATGTGGTTGATGGAAGACTCCATCTTGCGAAGCTGAGAGGCCTGGATATCCAACATTTGCAGGACATTGTTGGCGAGAGTGTTTATCTGGTAGGCGACGCTTGCCAGGGACTGGGTGGTGTATGCCTTGGTCTCTTCGAGAGCCCGCCACTTGTCCTGTGCCTGTCAGGGTGCACAGCAAACAATCCAGCTGTTTAACATTGCGCGTGTTGCACTGCAGGCCGCTTATTACTGCAGCAGCAGCATTCCCACAGTAATAGGTGGTGGCTGAAAACAGGGCACACACACACACTCATCAGCCCACCACAGACAGTACTGTAATACGAATAGCAATCAATATACAGCCAGCGCCTGCTGCAAAAAAGACATCTTTTGCGCTGCACTGCTGCTTTTCCCCACAAATTGCACATTCACGTACGACCCGGAATTTATATCAACGTGGAGATTGTAGTATTGTTTTAAATACTGTAAATGCCATTGTTTAAACGCCGGCTTTCTCTTGCACAAACAAAAGATTCCAATGCAGAGACTGCATGCACTACAGTTCGCCTACACGCTGAATATTAAAGGAGGTCGGGGGGGACACGTTCCATTTCTTGTACAATTTTACATCTGCAATTGAACGATTTTCGTGTGGAGCATGTGACCGCATTTCTGCTTCAGCGGTGGCGTTATACATGACACACGTGTAGAGTAGCACACGCGAGAAAATCCGTGCAATATTTTAAGTGCCCTTTTTTGTATGCGATTTAAAGAGCAAAAGCGTATGGCGGTTGCAGCTTCTGAAGCCACGGAAAACAGCATCACCTCCACCATGCTTCTCCCATTTACTACGACCACATCATGTCTCATCACTTCACTGCCCTCGTCATCAGCAACTATAATTCTTCATAACCACCACCTCTTGCATTTATTTCCGTCAGTATTTCTTACAACTACCGTTCCATCATCTCTCTCTCTACCATCACTCACTACCATTACCTCTCATTTACCACTATCCCCACCATGCCTCATCACGTTATAGCCTATATCAAGCTATATTTTCATAATTACCACTACATATACAGTATATTGGTATCGTCAGCATGTCTTATAACACCGCCATCACATCTCTCATCATCACCACCACCACCATCATCATAATTTCTGTCATTCATCATTCATTGGGACTACCCTCCAATCAGCTCCAGCAACTGGGTGCCACTAATTGTCTTGCCTTAATTAACACCACAGCCAGTGTCATCAGGCAATGTATTATAGCGTACTGCGTGTTAGAACAAAACACAATCCGGCATTTAACATACAGTTTTTTGCCAACATATCTTCCTCTAATCATTCAAAATAAAAATATTCAACAAACACGCCGATACCCGAGCTCGATCCGGTCATTCGTTGGGAAGCCAAATGATCAGAAAAGTAGTTTTGATGATCACAATAAAAACTAAGGATATGTGTATATCTGTTTTTTCTCATCTTAAGACCGCGATTCGTGCCGTATTGACGGGCCACCCGTGCCCACGGTGATGATGATGATGGTGGTGATGATGGTGGTGATGATGATGGAAGTGATGATGTTGATAATGGGCGATGATGAATAATAATTGTGGCGAGAATGAAAGTGCCGACGACAGTGGTCACGGGTAGCGCGGATAGTGATTTCGTCGTTCCCTGGTACCGTAAATATTCATATCGCTGCTACCGATATTGACTATTGTCATGATGATCAGTGGTGAGGATATCGATTCTGACGTTACAATCGACGATGATTCGTGGTTAGGAGTGTCAATGCTGCTGTCAATGCTGCTGAGTGATGATGACAGTACAGTATTGACAATGAGTGACCACGAGCAAAAATACTTTCTGACGTTACTCCTCCTGCTGACAGCGGCGAGATTGCTCCCCATGATGCCAATGCTATTGTTCGTGTTGCTTATGACACTGTCGCTGTTGCCGATTGACCATAACGCCGCCTATGACACGGCAAGTGGTGAACGTTACCATAACGAAGTATCCATGATCACGACGCCGTTATTATCATTGCCTCTGCTGCTGCCGCCGCTGCTGTTGCTATCGTCGTCGTCGTCGCTGCTGCTGATACCGACGAGACCATCGCTGCTGACGGGCAACAATAAAGACGACCACGACAACGAGTGACCGGTGCTGCCGACGACGGCGACGCCGTTATTGTCATTGCCTCCCACGACTGCTCACGACGACGACGATGATGATGCCCAACGAGGATGGCAATGCTGCTAACGCCGACGCGTGTCGACGGCGAGCGAACACACACACAGACACACACGTGTGGTGGTATGGGGGCACGTGCCTGTATGTAGTTGTTCTCGCAGTAGTCGGCCACTCGCTCCAGGTTGCGGTGGCTCTCGATGAGCGCGTGTCGCGCCACGGGGATCTCCTCCTCGAGCAGCATCTGCAGCTCCGCCATCTTGTGCGGGCGCAGCCGCGTCTCGTGGCGCGCGCCGCGGAGCCGGGAGCCGCGCGCGGGTGGGGGGGGAGAGAGGGGGGAGAAGAGGGGGGGGGAGGGGGGGAGAGGGGCGGGGGGGAGAGGGGGGGGGGAAGAGGGGGGGGGAAGAGGGGGGGGAAGAGGGGGGGAGGGGCGGGGGGGAGAAGAGGGGAGAGGGGCGGGGGGAAGAGGAGGGGGGCGGGGGGAAGAGGGCGGGGTGAAACGGAAGGGGGGGGGGCTATGGCTGAGGGAGCTGAGGTTGAGGGGGGGGATACAAAGGGGGGGTGATAGAAATGGGGGGGGGGCTATGGTTGAGGGAGCTGAGGTTGAGGGGGGGATAAAAAGGGGGGGGGGGTGATACAAATGGGGGGGGGCTATGGTTGAGGGAGCTGAGGCTGAGGGGGGTGATGGTTGAGTGAGCTGAGACTGAGTTGGGGGGGGCTATGGTTGAGTGAGCTGAGGCTGAATTGGGGGGGCTATGGTTGAGATAGCCGAGGCAGTGATGAGGAGGGGGGGAAGAGAGGGCGGGGCGATCTATGCGGGGAGAGTTAACGGAACCGCAGCAACGTGAGCCGCGGTGTGCAGGCGAGGGCGGGGCTATACGGGGGGGGGGGTGGCGAAGTGTGCGCGGGGCTATACGGAGGGGGGCGAAGTGTGGGCGGGGCTATACGGGGGGCGCGAAGTGTGGGCGGGGCTATACGGGGGGGCGAAATGTGGGCGGGGGCTACACGGGGGGGGCGAAGTGTGCGCGGGGCTATACGGGGGGGGGCGAAGTGTGGGCGGGGCTATATGGGGGGGCGAAGTGTGGGCGGGGCTACACGGAGGGGGGCGAAGTGTGGGCGGGGCTATATGGGGGGGCGAAGTGTGCGCGGGGCTATACGGAGGGGGGCGAAGTGTGGGCGGGGCTACACGGGGGGGCGAAGTGTGGGCGGGGCTATACGGGGGGGGGCAAAGTGTGGGCGGGGCTACACGGGGGGGCGAAGTGTGGGCGGGGCTATACGGAGGGGGGCGAAGTGTGGGCGGGGCTATACGGGGGGGGGCGAAGTGTGGGCGGGGCTATACGGGGGGCGCGAAGAGTGGGCGGGGCTATACGGGGGGCGCGAAGTGTGGGCGGGGCTATACGGGGGGTTGAGCGAAATGTGGGCGGGGCTATACGGGGGGGCGAAGTGTGGGCGGGGCTATATGGGGGGGTGAGCGAAGTGTGTGCGGGGAGAGTTAACGGGGATCGCGGGGGTGGTGGATGGAGAGGTGAAGGGGCGGAGGAAGTTTAAGGGGGCGAGGTTAACGGGCCGGGCTCGAGCGAGGGGAAAACCGTGAAAAATCGCGCGTGAAGGGAGGGAGAGAAGCGAGAGGAAGGGGCGGTGCGGGGAGAACAAAACGTGAGAGGAAAGCAAGATAAGAAAAAATGGAGTAAGTGTGACGGCACAGCGAAACTAAAAGATCAAGGGGAGAGGGTGGAAGAGCGAGAGGAGAGCGCAAACGTTGAGGAGGAAAGCGAGAGGAGAGAACGGAATGAGCCTGTGGCTCACAGCTCCCAAGCAAACGCAGCCGACGACGAGCGCGCGACGTTCGATGATTGCGGGGGGGGCGGGGCAGTGGGTAAGTGGGCGTGACTAGAAGGGCGATACCAAGTTGGGTTGGATTGGGGGGGGAGGGGGTTGGGAGTAGGTTGTTCGTTTTGGATGAATCCAACTCAATCGGGTAGAGAGGGGGGATATAGCAATGACCAGAGGCAATTCTCGACCTGCGATTTCATTTCACAGTGGGGCCTCACACCACTTTGAGACGGCCACTCAACGATATTTATCCATCACGACCAAGCATCTTAGCCGCACTTTCTACTTACGCGGCATATTTTATTTAATCTTGGGAACAATACGATATTTCTCTTGTCAATTCTGTCGCTGCAAGGATGTCTTTCGGCGACTGAGGCGTGTATTCATGTGGGTCATACCAATTTTTTTTATTCCATTAGACCATCGGGGTAATTGTTCCCTACCCTTCAATAAGTGGTGGCGAAATCTCCTTCGCCAGGTACACAGGAGGTCGTGGTTTAGATCCCGAACCTGACGCCTGCTGCTGTATATTAGGAGTTTGCGGTGTCACTCCCCCCGTGGTCGCGTGGATTTTTCACCGGATCCTCCGGGTTTTCCCTCCATATTTAGAACCCTCCATTTAGGGGGCGTCCATAAATGACGTCACGCGATTTTGGACGATTTTTGACCCCCCCCCCCTTCGTCACACGGCGTCACAAAAAGTCAGACCCCCCCCCTCAAATATGACGTCACAAAGCTCTGCCTCCCCCCCCCACACAAAATAAAACTTGCTTCAAATCGCTTTAAGCTATTGTCATCGTAGTGCGTATTTAATGTGGCGCTGCACGCTGATGTTGTAGGAGAAAACATTTATTAAAACGTATATTTAATTAAGTAGAAAGTGTTGTTTATATTTATTTAAAGTTGCCCATTTTGATGTGTCGTCACATTTTTCACCCCCCCCCCCCCTCGTCACACATCGTCACAAATGTCTGAACTCCCCCCCCCCCCTAGGTGCGTGACGTCATTTATGGACGGCCCTTTGGAGTATTTGGCTGCTAGAAATGTGCACATGATAAGCCACTTCGTTGCGCTATTATTTGTGGCCAGGCCTCTTCTTAATAAAATATATTTTAAAAATCTATTTTTAAAACACGCTTTTATGAAATGTACTAAAAAGCTCAACATAAATATTTTCTGTTCAAGTACTTTGCATTACATATCTTTCATATACTCTTCTTGGAGCCAACTCTAAATAAAAGCGTGGGGCGCGCGTTCTGTTTTGGAGCAAATATGTCTGTATTGACAATGGGAAGTAAGTGTACATATCTTGTTAATGTTGTCATTAGACTTACCCGGTAAAAAAAAAATCGTTGAGTGTATCAATGCCACCTGTCAGACGGTAACAATTGCTCGCATTTATTTTGATAGTGACCTAAAACAGAGGGACCACAATGTACTAATGTGGCTGCTGATGCTTTTACTTACACGTTTTCGTGTGTTGTTTTGAGACTTAGAAACCACCTCCATGCACTTTGCGCCGGCCCTTTAACTCGACAAACCGCACGGGTCCTTTATTTCGCACGCGTTCGCCGATTTCCATCCATCTCCCCTTTTTATTGCCTTTCTCTGGAAAATCAGACATTACCCGTCTGCCCGGTACGGCAGCTGAATACAATACAGTACCGCTTGCATTATTTCCCGGCTTACAGGGTAGGGCGACGGCGTTAACAACAAGGGGGTGGTTCATGATTTTGTTTTCATAGCCAGGATTTTAAATCCACGCGAGCGCGAGGTCGGCATAGAACAGCTCCGTCAGTGAAATTCCAGCCAGTTTAAATATTAATCCGTCCAAACAACCAAACGCGTCGCTTCACAGTGTTTTGTGAAGCCGAACAGAAAAAAAAGAATCTGCAATCAAGGTTAAAATTAGCATCGTAAAACAAAAAGTTACCGTGGTTTGTGTGTTGATGAGACTCAGTGGAAATCGTTAAAAAGCGTTTCCCGATTTGAACAAATACTGCGGGGAAACATTGGTCTTAATGCCAATAGTCATTCCAAACATTTATGGATATCTTGTCTCAATTCACTTTGTAGTGGTGAAACAGTTATCTAAGTGTATCCATATACTTTGGACGTGACGGATTTTGCCTTTAGCGATTTGGTAATTTAAAATGTTCGGGTTCATGATCTTAATTCGTTTATGCTGCCTTGTTTGGGTTGTCTTCTATGTGCTAACATGCTCGTTTAACTAACATAAAGATTACATTTTCACTGACAATATGTGCTAAATATTATTCCATTTGTTTACCAAGGATGGCCTGTGCTTCGTGACTTTTTCAAGAGGGTCCTGCCAAGGTTTCGCAATAGGGGGCGATGAACATCGCTATGTACAGTATAGAATACATTGTCGATACAGTATTTAAATTTTAGCGATGCTTGAACCCTTTCGATCGTGTGGTAATTGATATAATTGCCATAGAGTAGATTAGTAATTGCAATAGATTGATAATTATATAATCCACGCACACATAAAATGCCCGACAAATTAATGATGTCTTCCCTCTCAATGCCACAACTTATTCCACCGAATCTATCATAGTTTTGTGAAAGTACTGTTTACGTTTTTTTGGCAACGTCAACCTACCCATCAACCAAGACTTCAACAATGTACGTCACCGCCAACTCAAGTCCCTATTCCATCCCTTCTGGGATCGCCCTGTCACCATCCGAGAATCTCACATAGTTCCAGAAGAATACTAGCGAACAGAGTGGAACAACGCAGATGTCCAGAATTAACATCTCATTCAAGAGCCAAACATAATCGCACCTCCTGTCTTTTACATTCCTCCTGAAAGACACCGGTGGGACCATCAACAGCACCAGAACATTAACAGGCCGATGCGCACATCTCGCCACGGTAGCGAGATGTTAACTATCGTGCCTGGTATACAGGAGCTCGTGGGTTCGATCCAGACCCCGACACCTGTATATTTGGAGTTTACATGTTCTCCTTGTGGTCGCATGGATTTTTCTCCTCCGGTTTTCATCTCCACACTTAGAAACATGCGTGATAGTATTTGGCTGCTATACATTTCCACGTGATAAGCCACTCAGCAGAGCTATCATTTGTGGCCAGGTCGATTCTGAAAAATAGCTATATAGCTCAGTGGGCCTTACCTGGTAAAATGTAGAAAAAAAGTTTAGCATGGAAAATTAAAGACAATCCACAGTGAGATTGTCACCATGCAACCCAAACTATATGGACCATATAGTCAACCACTGTAGTATGCGGCTTTTTCAAAGGAGGAGGAACTTCTCACGAAGGCCTCTTGTGGCTAGCAGACATCCAACACTGGCATTCATCTCATGCATAATATTGCCATACGCAAGAACGTAATAGGTGCTATTAGTTGCTCATCAGTGGCCATACGAAACTCAGTGATGGAAATGGGCCGGAATGCTCCGTAAGGCCGTAGTGGGAATGACAATTTGAACTCGACTGCGTTCAG